GATTGAGATCATATGCAAGTCGCTGCCTGTTTTCTCTTTTCTAACCATGAAAAATCTCCTGATTGGTACTTAGTTGCCAAACAAGTAATATGACTGCCGAACAGCTCTGCCAGAAACCTTTCATAATTGAATTTTGGCATCACACAGATTGTCATGTTAGACAATGGAAGCTTCCAAAGCTTCTGCTTTGCTTTTCCACAAACCTATGAACTGTGCCATTCTCCAGCAACTACTTCAAAAACCATGAATTTGATACATCAGCCATTCCAGAAACACAAATTCCATGCCCCATGAAAAGGAACATATGCCAGAATTTGTCAACATTTAATACACTCCAACAGCAGTGTCTACAGTTCTTTTCTTGTCACAGATTCAAAATAATTCAAAAGCACACTATGTAAAAGGACCAAAAAGCATTGTTTGAAAAAATTATTTTAGCCATTATTGCAATCACAATAAGGGTTGTAGGGGTAGGTTCATCAAAATTATTTTAAAAGGCCTTCATCTGTAAGGAGACAGAGCAACCCATAATATTAAAGGAGAGAACAAAAGAGGACCACAAGCCACATGAATGAGCAGAATGATGGAGGGTGGACAGAACAGGTAAGATGCCACTGGGCTGTGGTACCTCTAGAGCAAATATAAAAGGGGCAGTCATTTGGTGCCACCAAAAACCTGGCTCACATCAATGCTAATTCTGAGTTGGATGGAAAAACATCAGCTGAATCCTTGCCCAGAGAGGAAAGGGGAAAGGGAGAATGTAGAAAAGCCCAATTGCTGCTTTTTATAAACATTCAGGGGCAGCCAGAGCCAGAACTGTCAAGTAGATGAAAGCCCTTGCTGTTGAGAAGAATTTGTTCCATGTTAGGCTCCCTCTCTTTCCTCTTACAAAGATTTCAGTAGCTTCAAATAGTATCACACATCTTGTATCATTAAGAAAAAAAATCTGATAAACTCATTGTAGTTTCTCTTTTATTGTTCACAAATTGATTAGGTCCCTTTAGCTTGTTGAATTCCCAACCCAAGGGGTTTTAGAGTCCGTCCTCTACAGATTTAGGAAAGTTTGTGATAGTTTGCTAACTGTTAGAGTTAAGAATGGAGCATTGTGCTCTGATTTCAAAGCAGCACAATATGATGGTTAGAACGTGGATTCTGGAACTGGGCTTTAGATGTGAATCTCATACCAGCTGAATGACTTCACCCATGTCATTCTGTATCTCTTAACTCCAGCTTCTTCATCTATAAAAAGGGCAACTCAAGATCTTATGCCACTGTGTCCTTATGAGCTAATGCTTCTGAAGTGCTTGTCACAAAACATAGTATACATTAATTACTCAAGCAATTATTATCCCCTTTATACCTGCTTTTCCAGCTTAAACTCCTTGAATTTCTAGAAAATGAAGTCTTAATCTAAGGAAATTCACCTTGACTCTGGGTAGGACCATCCCATGAGCTGTGGTTCTGGACTGAATAAAAAGGACAAATCCATATGAGCACAAGCATTCATTGCGCTCTGCTTTGAGACTGTGACCACAATGTAGCCAGCTACCTCAAGTTCCTGCTGCCATGATTGATGTACTCTTGAACTGTGGAACAAAATAAACCCTTTCTTATTTTTAATAAAGAAGTCTATCAACTATTGTGGGGTGTGTGTGTGTGTGTGTGTGTGTGTGTGTGTGTGTGTGTGTGTGTGTGTTTTAGGAGTTACAAGGCATATAAACTTGTCTTTGGCCTTCACATTACCACATTACCAAAACCTTTCACTAAGAGAGAGTCCAAAGTTCACCCAGTTCCCATCTAACCTTATAAAGTATGCCTAATCCAACTACAGTGTACACACTGTACTGCTCTTTGTTATTGGTCATCCATGACTATTGAAATTAAGAATAAGTACTTTAAAATGCTTACAGTAACTTCATCGAGTCTAATAAAATAATTAAATTTGTACTTATAATTTTTCTAAATTCTTTATTTTATAGAATTTATAGAGCAATTGATTTGAATCAATTGGATTTTTTTAAACAGGACATCATCCTTGATTGACAGATATTAGTCTAGTATACATGTTACTTCTTCTCATCAGATTCTAGCAACTCAATGTCGCTATTATGGCAAACCAATAGGCTTGTCACTCAGGTAACAAAATAACTACAGAGTAATTCATGAAGAGAACTATGAAGATGACCTAACCACAGAATAAGACACGAACTCCTGTTCTTTCCTAGTTAAACGCAAATTGCTTCCTGATATTCCCAAATGTGGGGGAGAGAGAAATTACACATCAGAATTATAGCAATTATGGATGCATACAAGGAGACAGGGTGTGTTGTTCTCCAATAAACATATACATTAGAATTACCCTTGGATTAAGTTAAAAATAATCTGATATCATTCCCTAAAGCCAACACATATCCATTCTATCATTGGTGGCAGGACTAATTGTTTTTGTATTTTTTCCCACAAAAGATATGATATGTTTAATTTACTACTTTGATAAAATAAAGAAGTTTTTAGTAATTTCCATTGTGCTTTTAATCTCAAATATCCTTTACTCCATTAAGCACATGAACTCAGGAGACCCTACTCTTGATATAAGGACTATTGTAGTTTTCTAGACTTCAGGAAATCAGTGTTATTTTGAGCACTGATCAATAATTCTCAAAAATCTAGTTAAAAACTAAATTGTGGCTGGATGGTGGTGGCACACGCCTGTAATCCCAGCACTCGGGAGGCAGAGCCAGGCGGATCTCTGTGAGTTCGAGGCCAGCCTGGTCTACAGAGTGAGATCCAGGAAAAGTGCAAAGCTACACAGAGAAACCCTGTTTCAAAAAACCCAAACAAACAAACAACAAAAAACTAAACTGTGTTTTAATATTCAAGTATCTTGGCAAATGTCAAGTTACTTAGGAATGACTTATTCAAAAGACTAAGAAATCCTCCTTCAAAAGAATCCTGCCACCTCTTGAGGCAAGAGGCTATGGGTAAGAAAATCCTCTCTTATATGGGGTTGTCACGAGTTAATTTTCTCCAAAGTTTTATTTTTTTATTCCTTTAGAATTTCCTATAGAAATAGCGCCTCATATCACTCTCACTCTTTCATTCTCCCCTCAAACTCTTTCTGTGTCCCGTTCCTCCCTAATCCATGACCTCTTATTTAAGATTACGTTTTAGTTATAAAGATCAAATAGAACCCTAATGACCTGCTCATTAGATTCAACACAAATAGCATAATCAGTTGCCCCTACAGAGATCTCAGCGGTCAAATCATTTTGATTATTATCCTTACTTTGCTCCCACTACGTTTGGAAAAGGCTCTTATTGCTCCTAGCAATTATCTATTGACAATCACAGACCATAGGAAATTCATTGAAATCAAAGTTTTAAAACAAAAACAGGAGGCATATGTCACCTTTATTCCCAGTCTACAGTGGATTTCCATGGTTACAGGCTGAATTATTTCTCTCAAAAAAAAATATTTTTTGAAGCCCGCTTATAATCACCAGTTCAACAGAATGTGGCCCTGTCCTGAGATCAGATCCATAAAAAGAGGAGTGAATTTAAATGAGAATTTTAACGATATGCCCTAATACAATCTGACTAGTATCCTCCTGAGAAGAGAAACAGGACATTCAAAGAGATACTGAATATACCAATTCACAGAAGAAAGGCCATGCAGTGGCCTTCCAAAAAGCCAAGAAGAAAGGTCACAGAAGAATCCAAAAAGTTTGATCTTGAACAAAAACAAAAAGATCCTTGAGAAGTGGGAGAAAATAAAAATCGATTAATCCAGGTGGTCTGTGGAATTCTGTTATGTCATTCACACCAAACTAATATACCTGCTAATGTACATTTTAACACAGCCTTTACCTTTTATCGTTGTACTTCTCAATTTCTTCATGAAGAAAACTTTTCTTAAGGTTTTGAGATGTTCAAGAAGGGGCATGTAGTAACTAGGTTGCACTATTCCCAGCACCCCAAGTCTTTGTACTTCTTCTTCCACAGGTTATCTGTCAACCTAGCTTTCTTTGGCTTTTACCACCACTGAAAACATTATCAGTCATGGAAAACATAAGGGTAACTTGTTCAAGGCTGATTTCCTAAAACAGGATAGCTTCATATAAATTTGAGCCCAAAAAGTAGCCATGGCTAATGCAATAAGAATACCTAGTCCAGCCGGGCGTTGGTGGCGCACGCCTTTAATCCCAGCACTCGGGAGGCAGAGCCAGGCGGATCTCTGTGAGTTCGAGGCCAGCCTGGGCTACCAAGTGAGTCCCAGGAAAGGCGCAAAGCTACACAGAGAAACCCTGTCTCGAAAAACCAAAAAAAAAAAAAAAAGAATACCTAGTCCAATAAAATATTCAGGTAACATTTAAGACCCTCTCTGTCAGATTGCCATAACAAATACATAGCATAAACTGAACACGTTAAACATTCAAATTTATTTCCTTATGCCCTGGATGCTAGATATTCAAGATTAGGTTAGCCAATATGGTTAGTTTCTAGTGAAGTTTCTCCTTCTGGCTAGTAGATGTTTACCTTCTCACCAGGTTCTCACAGAAGCATTTCTTCAGTTTTTATTAGTGAAAGAATAGACAAAGTATGCTCTTCTCATAAGAACACTGAACAAATTGGATCAGGACTCCATGCTTACAGCCTCCTTAAGCCTTAGTAACACCTTACAGGCCCAACATCACATTGAAAGTTAGAGCCTCAATGTAAGGTGGTTTAGGGAACAGCAATGTATAGTCCAACCCCTCGATAACACCAAGAGGAGTTAGTGAGCCCAGGTGCCCAGCTGCAGATAATGACTATTTGTAAGTTGCTACATTTCCAGTAACTCAGGTTTTCTCAATTAGTCAGTATTTGAACAAGTGTTTGAACAGTGTTCATACTGATCAAGGCGATCCAGTAAGGCTGTGAATTCAACTTACATTATTTAGAACCTATTAACTCATATCCCAGTTATTAGCACTATAGCTTTAAGAGATAGAGAGATAAAGATACTCACTTCAGCAGCACATATACTAAAATTGGAAAGGTGCAGAGATTAGCGTGGCTCCTGTACAAGAATGATACTCAAGTTAGGGAAACGTTCCATTTTTTTTTTTAAGAAAATGTGGTACATTTACACAATGGAGTATTACTCCACTGTTAAAAACAATAACATCAGGAAATCTGAAGGCAAGAGGATGGAACTGAAAAAACAATCATCCTGAGTGAGGTAACCCAGACCCAGAAAGACAAACATGGTATATACTCAATCATAAGTGGATATTAGCTGTAAAGTAAAGGATAACCATGCTACAATCCACAGACCCAGAGAGACTAGGTAACAAGAAAGGCACAAGGTGGGAATCATGGATCCCCTGGGGAAGGGGAATTAGAGGAGATCTCCCTGGGTTGACCTGGGGTGGGTAGGCATAGGTGCTTGAGGGACTGGGTTGTGGGGTGGGCAGAGGAGGAGGGTGCTGAGAGAGAAGACTGGAAAGGGGAGCTTTAGTGGGTCAGGTAGAATCCTGATGCAAGAGAAACATCTACAAGTCTACAAGGGTGGTCCCAGCTAAGACTCCCGGCAGTAGTGGATGTACAGCCTGAACTGGCCTTCCCCTGTGATCAGATTGGTAACTACTCTGATTATCATCAGAGAGCTTTTAGCCAATGAATGACGCATCCAGATTCAGAGACCCAAACATTGGGCCCAGCTCAGAGAGTCCTGCTGAGGAGAGGGAGGAGGGATTGTAAGAGTGGGGGTGAAGGGGTGGGGGCAAGGGGGTTAGGGGTGAGGCAGGTGGAAGGGGTCAGGGACATTGCAGGAAAACATACAAAAACCACTAGACTGGCTCATGGGAACTCACAGAGTCTGAACCAACAACTTGGGAGCCTGCATGGGACTGACCTAGGCCCTCTGTATATATGAGACAGTTGTATAGCTTGGTCTATTTGTGGGACTCCTAGTAATGGGAGCTGGGTCTGTCCCTGGTGCTTTGGCTGGCTCTTGGGAACCTATTCTACATGCTAGACTGCCTACCCCAGCTCAAATACAGGAAGAGGTGCTTGGTCTCATGGCAGCTTGATATGCCATGCTTTGCTGATGCCCATGGGAGCCCTGCCCCTTTCTGAATGAATATGGAGGGGTAGATAGGAGGGACCAGATGGAGGGTGAGGGGGTGGGAGGGGGGCTTCAATTGGGTTGTTACATAAATAAATAAATAAAATGATTTTTTTAAAAAGAAGATAGCCAATCCCTTTAGAAGATTATAGTCCATGTCATACACAGCTGCTGTACTTTTCATCTCTACCATACATGTCTCCATAAGCCTCTGCCAAAGCTTAGCGTTCTCTAGACACTTACTCCTGGGGAAGCCAAGATCACTGGAGGAACCTTTTGCTTGTGTGCCACTGAGTATAAAGCTCCAACTTTCCAGTGTTACCAAAAACATTACTACCTTCACATTCAACCAAGTCAAATAACCAATCCGAATTCTCACCAAAGGCTATCCTAAGAAATAGGTGCATGCTGGAATTTAATAGAGGGAGCCAGGTGCAAGTGACACAGTTGGAAGTCTCGAAGTTAGGGACAAGGTATAGAAGCTGCACCTTAGACATGAGAAGCTGCCACCCCTCCCCCACCCGCAACGCCTTTTTGACACTACGGTAGCTGCCTCCTCCTGATATCACCTCTGTGACGTCTCTGAAACAGCACCATGAATATGATCCTTCTTTTACTACAAAAATCCTTCCTGGAGTTATGCCAATCGCAAGACAAGTACAATGGATTCTTGGAAGTGTACTTTTAACTTTTCAGGCTTCGTAACACAAGAATTCACATAAAAGTGTAAGCACAAGACTTGAGTGCCAATTGTCCAATACAGCACCACTTCAACCACTTAGTTCTCCTAGCAGGCCCTCCGATTACCCGAAAGGTCTCTAATTCTGCAAATGTTGTAGGAGGTTTTTGCATTCTTTTCAGCATCTGTTTATCCTGGGATACCTTGGGAAATACAACAGTTTCATACCTGAGGTTGTTTTTATGAGGAAAAAAAAAATAGTCAAGGTTTTAGTTTCTTCGCTCTGCTAACATTTTCCCAGCTTATTTACAATAGCCACTTTGAAAAGAAAATATTCAACCCTTCTAAGTAGTTTTCTTTATGCATGCCGCCTGGCAAGCCAGGACTTGAGTACTAAAGTGCATCCTGTGTATTATGGAGAGGGGGGAGTGAGAAAGATGATAGATATATTGGGTATCTAAGACTGCCACACAAAGTGCCACAAAAATGGATGGCTTAAAGCAAGAAATTTATTCTTTTGCAAGTATTGGAGGCTGGAAAGCTGAGATCAAGGAGCCAGCAGTGTCAGAGTAATCTCTAATGCTGACTAGAATGCTCTCTTACTTTTTTGCTAACTTCATGGAAAGTTGTCCTTCCTTAGAATGCCTCATTTCACAGCTTCATCTCTCCAATGTTTGCTCCTGTCACCACACAGCCTCTTCCCTGGGAGTCTTACCTCCTCTTCATGTAAGGACACCCATCCCACAAGGTAAAGAATGACCTCATGTTACTTTTATTACCTCTATAAAGACCTTATTTTCAAATATGGTTGTATTCACAAACATAGGGGATCAAGACCTGAACATTTGAGTGGACACAGTCCAACACATAACAGCAGGAAAAAAAAAATAGAGAAACCTCATTTCAAGTCAAATTTATTACTAACACGAACTTTTCCCAAGAACATGAAGGAAGGTGGCTTCAAATGCTATCATGGGCCTGAGTAACATATTCACAGCTACAGTTATATAAGTAGAGAACACAAACATAAAGTGCAACAAAATTGTGAGCTGATTTAAAGAAATATTCCTACAAAAATAGAAAAAGAAACCATCTAGATGTTACACTCCTTTTAGAAATACTAACTTGATCCACAATAAATATAAAAATGTCTCTAAAGGGGGAATGATTAGTTAGCTGTCTGAACACAGACATCCAAAAAGTAGTTATGGGCTGGAGAGATGACATGCCATACAAGTGTGAAGACGCAAGTTCGAATCTCTAAAACCCACATAAAAGTTGGGCTCTATGGCATGTATCTATGATCCTATTGCTCCTACAGCAAGATGGGAGAGAGACTGGAGAATCCACGGAACTCAGCAACTAGCTAGCTGCCAGCAGCAATGTCAAACAGCAAAGACCTTGTCTCAAACAAGACAGAATGTAAGGACCGAGACCCAAGGTTATCCTCTGACCTCCACATGTTTGCTATGGCGCACGCGCACGCGCACACGCACACACACACACACGAGAACATGTACAGATATTCATATGTACATATGCATCAAACATACAAAGAAAAAGAAAATCGAGTATTCACTATTAGTTTTTAAGCCAATTTCTTTTTTATTTCTGGAATGTATTTTGACTTAAAGAAAATAAAGTCTAGGTTCATTCATTTATTTAATAAGTGTCTATCAAGCACATGGTTTGCCAAATGTTCCATACTCTCTATCCACAGTTAAGAAAAGCATGATCTCTGCTTCCTAGACATTTCTTGATAGTGCAGTAGAAAAAAGTGAGTCAGTACAGAGCATAGCATTGTATTCTGCATATGTTAATAGCATGGTATTACAGGATCAAGATAATAGCTAAACAATCTGCACCAGAAGAGGGCAAGTCAAGAAAAGCATCCTGTCTAGAAGAATAAATTTGGTACTGTGTTATACAGAGTTCAGAAAGGTGTCACAATGCAAAGAACACCACATGTAAAAACAAAATTGTGAGTTACAGCACAGCACATTCTGGGAACTACGAAAAGATCGTTTTTAACTGAATTAAAATGACAGATGTGAACAGTGAGAGAGGCAGGAAGCAGTTTTCATCAAAACAGGGACCAAATTATGGAAAACTTCTATGATAAGAGCAATGGAGGACTCCATAATCTTGAGCCGCGCTGACCTGTGTCTGCCCTCATCTTCTAGACATATGATTCTACTTAGCGCATCTTGGAGTTAAAAGAAGTTGGAGTGATGGTATGACGGACTAGTTCTAGACAACAGGCTGTGAGCAGAGGTAATACGCATCACTTCTAGTCAAAACAAAGAAAGAAGTCAGTCCATGTTCATTTGTTCTTTATCTTGTCTGGAAAAAAAAAAAAGAAATAGTTTTATCCAGATAGTAGAGCCTCCATGAAAGGCAGGATAGACAGCCTATACTCATGGATAACATAGGACACTGGGAGTAAGACTTAAGCTTTTGTTTCACTAAATCACTTACATTTTAAGTTAGTTTTCCACTGCAGCATAGCCCAGCTTAATAAACAATAACATAGCGTTCAACTTCTAGAAGACTGAATGCAGCTGTTTACAAAACATGTTTCAGAGAGATCACAATTTCTAGAAGGTAGGACATAGACAAGTAAGGCCAGAATAGATACAGAAGGCAAGTGGTAACCTGTAACAGAGTCCAGAGTTGGGCACTGCATACATACTCAGGCAACTTACCTCCTTTCAATTAAACCTCAAGACATCAACATTGGTCAATTGTAGGCTCTCAATTTCCTTGAGCTGAGCCTTTTTCTAGGGCCACTAAGTAGGGAGACTGCCAAGAAATTTTTGCACTCTTCTCTTCCACAGAAAAGCAGACTAGTTAGGGGGTGTGAATCTCAAGATTTAAAATAACAATAGCAGCTCTAGGCTTGGGAAGGAATATGCACCTAACAACTAGCACTAAGTTATTATTGTGAAATCCTTTCTTCTATACATCACTTATTCTGAACATGTGGCATGTAAACTTTCTGAAATTCAGATCAAAAGAACCATGGGATAAGGGCTAAGACAATACCTCAGTCAGTAAAGTACTGACCACTCAAGTGTGAAGCTCAGAAAGAGCAAGGCGTGGTGGCACATACTTGTAATCACAGCCCTGGGTAGATCTACAGATACAGGTCGATCCTTGGTACTTGCTGGCCATCCAGCCCACCCTGCTCAGCAAGCTCCGGGCCAGTGAGAGGCACTGTCTCAATACAAGATGGATGGCCTCTGAGGAAGGACATCCAACATTGATCTCTGGCCTCTACACACATGCACACCCACATGAACAACCACATACACAT